GCCGCTGCCTGCCTCGTGCCCAGCGCTTTCAAACCTTGGAGCTCTTCCCGTTTTGCAGAGAAGACAGGCAGGTGATGGGGGACATCACCCCTTCTGCAGGGCAGAGCTGTGTCCCAGGCAGGCACAGCCGCGCTGGCCAGGCTGTGGGATAGCCAGGAGCTCGGGAGTGACTCCCGTGCTCGGGTGGTGCTCTGCGCTCTCCCGCTCACTGCCGGTGACAGACCAGGCCCAGCAGCAGAGCCCGGATGCCTGCGGGTGCCAACCAGGCACCTGCAGACCTGGGAAGAGCAGGGCTGCGGGTGACTCAGAGCACGCCCAAAGCCGGCAGAGCCGGGCAGACCTGCTCTGCCCCCCCGGGCTGTGGGTGCCGCCCCTGGGGCTGAGCAGGGTCAGGAGTTCCCTTCCCTCGGCCGGGGCAAGAGGCACCAGGTAGGGAGGGCTGATAGCAGCCTGGAGAGTGCCTGCCCCACACCGACTGCCAGCAGCACTAGAGCAGCACCTGGATGGCCCCTAACCCCCGCCCCCGCCATTGCCAACAGCCTGCAGAGCCCTGCAGGGCTCTGCTTCCACCCTGGGATGCAGCGCCAGCACAGGCTGACAGCAAAGGTGCCCAGTCCTGCCAGGTCACCATGCTCACGAAGCCAAGGAGCCACAAAGCAGCTCCTGGTGCCCACCCACACCTCGCTGTGCTGGGGAGCCCGGGCATGAGAACCCCCTGCTCAGGCGCAGCCGTGTAATGCCAGGCTCTGCTTCCGGCACAGCCATGCACGGAGGCTGCCCATACCCTGCCACCCGCCCCAGGGCTGTGGCACAGGGTTTGCTTGCGCCGTGCCAGAGCATAGGAGGGTCTGCGCTCTTTTCCCCACCGCATGCATCCTAGCTTCAACCGCACGGCTGGGAAGAGAGAGGAGGGTAAGGAGTGGGACCAGTACCTCTCCTGGTCGGCATCCCCAGTGTGGTCCACAGCCTGTCCCCTTGAGCCCGGCGCGCACGGTGTCAACTTGGCACACTCACACTAGCTTGCCGTTTACTCCCACTTGTGCACGGCCCTGACGCTCAAGTCTGGGCTGGTCCTGGGGGAAGGCCCGCCTGGGCTCGCCCAGCGTCTCAGCTGCAGGATGCCAGGGAGGAGGGATCAGCTGGACGGAGATGCCTCCTGCGGCCCCATGATAGCAGCGATCTGCATCCCGGGAAGGGTGGGAGATGCATGCCATGCCACAGCCCGGGCACAGCTCACACCACCCTGCACCTTGCCTGGGTTTGTACCATGCACTGCAGGGCCAGCCAGGGCGCTGGGTGCACCCTGAGAGGGGACTCTTGGAGACAGCGAGCATCCTTTCATGCCGCTGTTGCAAAGGGAGGCAGGGAGGGCCCTGAGGCTGTGATGGAGCCAGTGCAGACTCCCAGACCCACACTCCAGCCCTGAAGGTGTCTGTGGGCTGTGATTGCTAAAGGCTTTGTTGCCCTGAGCCCCATGAGACCAGCCACCATCCCAGTCCCTCTTAGTCCCATGTCAAGGGGGAGGTGGAGAGGAGCTGGTGAGCCAGCTCAGGAGGTGCAGAGCATCCCAAGAGCTTGTCCAGGATGGCACTTATCCTCACCCAGGTGAGTGAGTGGCCAGCTGGTCCCTGGGGACAAGGAGAGGGGTCTTACCAGTGGGTTCAGAGGAAAGCTATGGCCATGGGAGCAGGTCCCGAGGCACCTCCCCCTCCAACTCCCCCACCCCCTCTCCCATCTCCACCGACGCAGCAGGAGGAGGTGCAATAGCCATGGCAATGAGCGTGAGGACTCCTGTCTCCTGCAGTCCCAGCTAAAAACAAGGCTTGGAGCTCATGTTTCTGGTCTCCTCCCAAGCAGCTGGCAGGATTAGCTCATCCTAGCCCCACATGGGAGCAGCAGGTTGCCGCATCCACTGTGCGGTGCATGGTGCGGGGGACTTCTACATCTGACACTTTGCAGTCCCACGAGGGTCATACACGCTTCAGCTGCCCCTCGGGGGGCTCAGCCTTCCCACCAAGGGTGGCCATTCCTGCCAGCAGCTCTCCCCCATGCCCTGCCTGGGCACCGCGCCCTGCAGAGAAAAGGGAGAGGGACGCCTGTGCTGGCTCAGTCCAAACCAGGCTGCCTGTGTGGCAGGCAGGGGAGGAAGCCCGGGACACTGCTCCACGCTCAGCAGCTACATGAAAACACAGCCTCCAAATTCGGAAAGCAGCTCAGTTTCCAAATACGGCCATGAACTGAAAAACTCACCTCGAAATGAAACCAGCACCAGCCCTCTGGTTCAAAGTTTCCTGTATAAAAACAAACCTGCCAGACAGCTACATTTGCACACAAAAGGTTTTGGTTTTGGGAGGAAGGTCTCTTTTTTGGAGGAGTAAACACAAGGCCTGCCCATCCTCCACGCCCACAGGCGGGAGGCCCGCTGGCAGCTCGGGGCGAAGGCAGAACATTGTCCCATCTTGCTGCCTGGCTGCTTTCCCCCGTGCTCGTCCCCTGCTAGCATACCACTGCCTGCAGCAACGCCAACGCCGCCACCGGACCAAGCTGCTGACCAGCTTGTCCTGCAACCGCTGGACTCTGGCAGGCTGCACCAGCCAAGGCTGTTCGCACTCATCACCATAGCTGTGATGCCTTGGAGGGTCCCAGGGAGCGGGAACGGATGCAGGATGGGGCTGTGCAAGGGCAGAGCTGGTCCTTCAGCAGAGGGACCCATGTCTGCCCATGGCTCTCCTTGCACCATGTTGGTGCCAGGGTGCTGTGGCATGGCACCCAGGGGTGCTCCCTTCCTCGCAGCATGGCTGGAGACTCGTCAGCGCCTGCTTCTGCAGCTCCTCAGCTTCTCCCTGGCATGTCCCGCACCACCCGGAGCCAAACACAACACGAGCCCGTCTCTTCGGCTGTCAGTGGCGCCTGATGCTTTCTGCATCCGGCCCTCAAAAGAAGGCAGCTCTGCTTCTTCACAGGAGCAGCTGGGGGACTCCCACCCTGGCTCTACTCCCCCCAGCTCAGCTGCAGGCCCCCCCGAGACCACCCTCCCCAGGCTGATGCACATTTGGGGCTGGCACAGATGCAATCTGGCTGCTCCCTGCGGTGCTGCTGTAGGTGGCATTCATGCATCGCAGCTGAAGCTGCTTCCTGGGACACGTCTTGGCCGCGGGGGCGGGGCTCGGGGCTACACGTCTTGGCCGCGGGTGCGGGTCTCGTGGCTGGCGATTGCTAAAGGCTTTGCTGGCAGAAGCTTGGCCTCACCAGGCGGGTGCTGCAATTCTGGAGCAGGGGTGAGGTGGTTGCAGAGGGATGCAGGATCAGTCCCCTCCACTGTTGCCTGCTGATTGTTTTGATCCAGATTCCTGTGAATTGTCTATCCCTTCAGCCACAGCCTCTGCTGCTTGACTTGGGATGGTGGGAGAATGGATTGAGTCTTGCAGAGTGACATGAAGTTCAGCCTTGCCTATCCAGGGGTCCCCGATGATGTGTCCATGGAGTCGAACATCCTGGCTTGAAGGTTTGGGGGCATGGAGGGTCTCTGAGGCTTGGAGACCTTGCCAGGTGCCAGACTTGGAGACTTGGTCCCTACCCAAAGCACTGGCAGAAGCTGTTTTCACCTCTGAGCTGGGACACACCTACCCTGCCTCAGTTTACCATCTCTGCACTGGGAAGCAGAGGTGCTCTGCTGCTGCAGAGGGGAGGAAGGGAGAGCAGGAGGCAGCTGGTAACGGGGACGCATCAAGCTTTTCTGAGCCACCTCATCCCTGCTTGGGCAGTCATTAACGGCAATTTTGGCATCTGGGCAGCGAAGCCACGCTGTCCTGCTTCTCCCGTGGGTGATGCAGCTGGGCTGGGCTGGCTGCAAGGTCCAGGAGGGACTTCCCCAAGGCTCAGGGGGATCAGCCGGGCTGCCGTTCGGCTTGAGCTGCTTGGCTGGGAGAGCCTAAAACAACAAACATTGCAGAGTAAGGGAACATTTCACTGCATTTTCCTGGTCGAGTGGTTTCCTGTTTTCTAAGCAGCTTTTCCAGCATCACTGGGGCAGAGGACTTGTCTGTGCAGAGCCTCACCTCAGAGCAGACCCTCACCAGGAAGGCAAGTTCCTGCTGCTTGACATCTGGCAGAGAGGTCACAGAAGATTGGGTCTAGGATCAGCTGTGACCTTTACCGGAGATCTGCAGTAGGAGACAGCATTATTGTGTTCCCCTCTGGGCTGAAAGCATCCATGAATGTGTGGTCTTACCTAGGTCAAAACAGGCTGGACACCACTTGTTTACACAGCCCCGCTGTTTTTTCTTATGGACAGCTTTCCGTGGCCTGACAAACTCATCACTCGCATGGCCACCTGCTCAACGTGCTCAGCCCTGCATGGGGAGCACGGCAGCTCCTGGGCTCAGCGCTGCTCCGATGGGCTCTGCTGCAAGCCGGAACAGCTCGGTGCTGAGATTCATGTGGGATGCTGCCAAAAGCAGGAGACAAAAGCAGGACACCCTGTGGCACACCACTGCTATATTTCCCAGGAGTGTGGAGCAAATGTCTCCATCTCCATCACTCCTGCTCCTCCCAGGCCAGGCCCTGCTCCCCAACTGTGTTTTGGGGAGAGCAGAGCCTGAGCAGAGCCCTCTAAAATTTCAGTGTTGTTCCAGCCTTGGGTCCATCCTTTCTCCCCCGGAGCCTGCCCGCAGCTGTGCACACAGGTAAGGTCACCCTGCCTGGTGGTGCTGTCCCCTCAGCAGCCCCTGCCACTTCTCTGTCCCAGCCCAGAGACCCCTGCCCCACTCCTCCCGCTTCATCCCCTGCCTGCCACTGACCTCCCCTCTGTCCTGGATGGTACCAGGAGCAGGGGCAGTGGGATCATCCCACCAGGTCTCCAGGGAAACACACAGATACTTTCTCAGTTGACAAACATCATCTTTCCCCTCCTTTGCTGACTGTTATTAAAAAGAGGCTGTTGGCAGAGAGTCTTCCCTGAAAGCCAGCCTGTAAGTGTCAGCCCCTGGGGACTGTCTGACCCATGGAGAAGGGGCAGGCAGAGAGGACGCTGATGCACAGGGCGGCTGTCACTGCTTGAATCAGTCCTGGCTCCTCGTGGAAGACAGGATCCATCTGGATCTCCTCAGGATCCATCCTGGATCCATCCTTACACACTCAGCCATACCTGACCGTGACAGAGACATAAACCAGGCCCCTGCAGGAATGGAGAGAGGCAGACACAGGGACTCCTGTCAGCACCTGTGGGCCCAGAACTAGCCAGCTCTCCAGGACGTGGCCCAACACACAGCATCTCCCCTGCAGGAGCAGGCAGCAGGACCCCCGCCCAGCCCATGCCTGCAGGTTGCTGCATCTGAGCTCTGCAGGCTCCCCCCATCGGCACTCCAGCTCCCCAAAGTGCAGTGACCCCAAAGCCCAGCTGAGGTGGCCTCACTTGTGACTCTTATGTCTGGGGAGAGGCACAGGAGACCCACAGATGATGGGCTGGCTGAGCTGCTTGGGGGGCTGTGAGAGGAAGCGGAGATGCCATCTGGCAGGGCTGATGCCCACCAAGTGGGGCATGATCTGCTGCAGTGCCATGGTGCCAGGCTGGCTGGTGGCAGGGCAGGGGTGACCTGCCCCAGTTGAGAGCAGAGCTTGCTGGCTTTGCACCCCTCTCCACAGCCCGATGGGTGTTCAGCAAGTGCTTCCCCATCGTCTCCCCAACTTGCCAGCAGCACAGATCCCTCCTGCCCTATCCTGGTATCATAGACTTGGGCCCTAGCACCACATGCAGGCTCTGCATTATAGAGGGGCCCACCCTTCCCCAAAATGCACATGCACTCTAGCAGTCCTTGTTAATAGGGTGCAATGTCCACCATAAACCAGACGTGAGGTACAGGGGAAGAAGGATGGGGTGGTGGACCAGAAGCTGTTGCACTGCACAGTGACTTGCCCGCCAGCCACCACAGCCATGACCTGCTGCTCTCCCACACGGTGGCAGACCCAGTGCCTTATTCAGGGTTACTGCAAACACTGCCCTGATGCCAGCCCCACGGCTTGATCCTATGCCCATGCTGGGCAGGATCAGGGGAAGGGTGTTCGGCAGCCCTGGGTGATGGAGAGGTCTGCTGTCTGACACTGCAGCTCATCCAGTGCTGGCAAGGTGAGGCTTTCATGAGCAAAAAGCCCAACGCCTCTGCAGCATCAGGAGCTCTGGTGCCACCAGCTGCTGCCTTGATTTATCCTCTAGTGCTGAAAGCCTCATGGCTCCATCCTCCACTACCTACACTTGCTGGCAGGAAAGGTGTCCCCTGCCCCAGAGCATCTGGGGACCCCTCTTGGCCCCAGATGCAGAAGAAAAAAAACCTTAAAAGCTTGCCATTTCTTAACTTTTCCTCCAGGTCTGGGCCATTTGTGGCTTCCAGCACCATGGCTTCCCCACAGTGAGCTGACCGGAATATTTCTCATACCTGGAGATGGGATAAAACAAACCCCATGTGCTGTGAGCTCCTGTGGCTCAGACCTACGGCCGCACAGCCAAGGTGTCTCGAAGGCATCGCTCAGCAGGAGCAATGCACGGCCCAACGTGGCAGCTTCCTGATTTTCTGAGGCCAGAAAGCACTATCCAAAACAGCTTCCAAGAGCAGACAGGCCCACGTACTCGCACGCACGCATGGCCCTGCC